AAGACCAGAAAGCATGTTAGACATCATCCGCATGGTTGTTGACCATAAAATAAGTCAATGTACACAAAGTGTTTTACAAACTTTAATGTGCCATAGAAATGTTGGCTATGATTATCAGGTGGTGGGGTTGTTAAGGCCCATGTTATGAATGGGGAGACTGAGGCACAAAAAGGTTTAATGACTTGCTTGTGTTCACACAGCTCTGAGTGTCGTATCCAGGGCTCAAAGCCAAGCCTTTCCTAACTCCAGTTCAGTGCTGTGTCCAGTGAATCACTTTGTCAAACCCTAGCTCCTCTGTAATCTTAAATGGTTTCCAGAAGATTAGCCCACACTAAGATCTCAAAATGTTGAACACCACACATGATCTCGACAACTGAAATGCTGGTGAAATCCTAACAGGGGATGAGTTAAACAACCTCCCATATTCATCAGTGGCAACCACAAGATAAGAAAGTTAGGGCCCAAAGGAAGTGTCTTGTTGGGAAAACATGGAGCTGGGAAATTTTCACAATTTATGATTTTCATTTTCTTTTTATCCTCTGTCGGAACAAATAGATGAAATTAGTCTGTGATTTTGGGAGGGGATAAGTGAAGACACCAAGAATGACTTCAGTTTTATTTGATGCAATTAATGATATTTCCAAGTTGCCCATTGTTTTTTTTGCCCTGGGGTAAGCACAAGACAAGAGAGAGCCCGGAGATGTTGGATCCCCTGGGAGGATGAGTATTAAAATTCTAGAAATAGGTGTCGCATTTTGGATAGAAAAATCTACCATTTCTTAAAGATATTCTCCTTCCCCAGGGCATCTGCAGCAAAGCTCTAAGCCATAAGCTAGCAAGACTTTTAGAAAACTACCAGGGCCAAATTGCTAAAATACCATCCTCTGGCTCATTTCCAGTCTTAGAAACAAAGTCTCTGATACAGGAAATGCCTTTAGGAAAGACCTGAAGGTCACACCCTTCCTCATCTTAGGAGATGGTCTTCATGAGTTGCTAATGTCTACATACTCCCCACTCCCCAAAACAAACTATCTGCTAATAGCCCAAACTATCATCATGAGGCCTCTGAGTATGGCCTGCTAGGACTGACAAGAAGCTGTGAAGTCAGACAACAATCAACACTACAAGTATTTTTATACCCATTCTCCAGATGAGGTTAGTGAAGTAACTTGGCTAAGGCCATAAGTGGCCTCAACCAGCTCTTCATGACTGCAAGTACCACACTCTCCGCACTGACCCCCCCCCCCTTTGCTAGGACATATGGGGAAGGTGCTGGAGAGAAGGGTCTTGTTGTTATCTGCTTGTTTTCCTCATGGCTACCAGCCTGTCCTAAGCGGCTGCTCCCGCTATGCTTAGCAAAGGTCATCACCAGAAGTTCCACCTCCAGCCGCTGCCTGGCTGGTCCACCAAGGCTTCACAGCGACGTTCAGCAGAACTGGGGTCTTCTGGCAGAGCCTTCAGAATCCTGGCGTCCCGGCCCACTCAGGCACGGATGCTAAGGCAGAGTTTACAGGTATTTGGAGGGGGCTGGGGGAGAGCTCAAGCAAGTCATTGCTTTCACTCCGCCATCTTGGCTCCGCCCATACTAAGGCAGAGTTTAGAGGAGGGTTAGGGTCAAGGATAGGGTTAGAATCTCCACTGTTTCCAAATGGTTGGACCACGGGCCCATCTTCTCTGCCTTCAGCAGCTTGTTCTGACTGACTTGGAAGTAGGAAAGAATAGAAACAAAGCGAATTCTTTCCACGAGGGTTTAACTTTCCTCTCATCAGTTTGACCTGAACTTACACAGAGAAGCAGAGCAGTACGGTGGGTAGAGCGCTGGGCGCTCCATCAGGAAGGCCTGAAGTCACATCATCATCTACCATTTTGTTTTATCCTCTATCGGACAGCTTTTCACACACCCTTCGGTGCCGTTTCTTGTTATGCTCCAAACATTTGTGCTCATTAATGACTCAAGTTCAAAATTTAAAAAAAAAGAAATTAAAAAGACCTGAGATTAAATCTTGCCCCTAACATTGAAGAATTGTGTGACCCTGGACAAGTCATATCACTTGTCTGACATTTAGCCAACACATCACTACAATGGGGATTAAAAAAAAACAAAACCCACCACCCTTGAGCATCCCCATGACAGGGCTGTTGTCAGGCTCCTAGGAGATAATACCTATGTGATGGTTTGCAAGCTTTAAAACACTCTACGAATGCTGTCATTAACACACCTCGATCACCCAGCTAGTGAGCTAGCTGGAGAGCGTTTATAGGTGGGGCAGATGGAGCGCGAGCAGAGCGCTCAGACAGGAGGCAAAGCAGACTCTGAATCTGGAAAGCCTTGAGGACAGAGGGAGAAGGTCGTCCCACAGAGCCCAGCGTCTACTTTGTGGCAGGCCTCGGGCTCAGACCCGGGGAAGCACACTGGGACGGACCCTCCAAGAAAACGTAAACTCTTCAAGGACAAGGACTTCGGGGTTTGTCTCGGCATTGCCAATCTGTTAGCACAGTGTCTGACGCTTAGCAGGCACTTAACTGATTACGGAATGACTGGTATTAAACAACACGCACAATGGCAGGGGCGGTGGAGGCAGAGACTTCATAGATGTCTTCCCCACGCGGGGAGCGGGGTTTGTCTCTCCGAGCCAACCCCAACTGCAGACTTACTTCCAGCATGGATCGCATTACAGGACTGTTTTTCTGAAATGCTTTGCTGGAGGCCTCCTAGTCATCAGCCCTCTGAGCGGGCGTGGTCGTCAAGAAGACACAGAGGCCTCGGGCTGACGTTCCAGCAAACGCGCCTCGAAGACTTGGGGGGAACACCAGGCTGTTGACCGAACAAATCAGCGGTTAAGAGGGGGACGGACGGAGAGGCGTCACCCACCGGGATGGGCTACTCGGTGCTCGTTCTGTCCCGTGTCACTGACGACACGCACTAAGCAATGGGCCTGCCCCGCTCCAGGCCCTCTGCGGCAGATGGATGGAGAGTAAATGACACTCACGCCAAGCCAAGCCTGCCTTCAATTACGAGCGAGATAAGATGCGCCTGACAAGACCCCCTCTTCCTTCTGGGCGGTCCCAGGGCTGCAGAGCGCCCTGGACCAGGAGGAAATGAGGAGACTCGGGAAGCTATTCTTTTTATAAAGATTTCAAAGCCTTCATGGGACCGAGGGTCCATGGACGCTAACTCTCTTCACCTTGGAGAGGAGGAAGCGGGCTCAGAGAGGTTGGAAGATCAGAAAGCCAGGGCCAGAAAGTCAATCAGCGCCCCTTGTTCCAGCCTCTCATTTCACAGATGAGGAAGCTGAGACACGGAGGCTTGCTCGAGGTCCCACCAACAGAGCTGGGAGATGGGCCCAGGTCTGCCGGCCAAGCTGGTCACCTCTTCTTTGTCTAAGCCTACGAGAACACACCCCCTTAGGAAAACAAACGTGCGACGGCGCCTCAGCAAACTCACCTTCGCCCTGACAAACTGAAAGCGAAGCAGAAGGCTCTCTGTATCCAGAATCGGGGGAGGCCTGGGTTTGAAGGACACTTCCCCCCTCTGGGATCTGGGGCACATCCTTTACCTCTCCAAGCCTCAGGCTCCTCCTCTGCACCAGGGGCATCATTAGACCACCTGCCTCCCTGGGCTGTTGAGTCAAAGGATCTTCCAGGGCTGGACAAAGGGAGCTGGGCTATTACCATAGACCCCTCGGTCATAATCACTGCGGTCATACTAAGACAGGATAAAAACTCCTGCCTGGATTCACTACCTAGAAAAATGGTGCCTGGTGAGGCCTCATTGAGACAGAATGCATTCATTGCATCTAAGGGCATGGAACCCAAAGGTCAAGGTCCGGGTGACAGATCCCTAAGGAGATGCTCTGACATTAAGAAGAAAAGCCTTTCATCAAATATTTGGGCAATGGAAAACAGCAGCAGAGAAACAAAAGTGCTTTTCTGTTTAAATTAGATGATCCGTAGAACAGACATTTATCCAGTGAAAGCGCCAAAAATATCCAAGCAGATGCTGACCAAACCCTTTGTGTGCACATTCTTATCGCTACCCAGGCACATGAACCCATCAACAGAAACAACTGCTAATTTTGTTTCTGAGTCAATCCTCTTCCCTAAGTGGAACCGAGCTGGGCAGTTGTACTTGTCTCTGGGCACAAAAGAAGAAAAAATGCAGAAAAAACACACCAGTATTTTACAAACAATGCAGATTAAAGGCGGACCTAGGTGGACGGGGAAATACTCTAAGTCATCTTGACATCACTTTCTCAAGAGGAACCTAACAGATTTTGAGGGCAGCCCAGATGTCTTCAAGAAACTGTGAGCCAAAAAGCCCTTCATTCATATTCATATAAATTGATTGCCCAATACACATCAAAAATAACTGTCTTTGCAAAGCCCTCATGGGCATAGTACGGCTGAATAAAATCATCTGAAAAAGGCACCACAGAAAGACAGGAGGCCTGAGCTCCCAGCTCCCGGCTCCCAGTTTCCGCAGCACTTCTGGATTCTGAGGACTCAGGTCTGAATCCTTGCCCACTACCAGGGCAGCGTTAAGTCCCTTTCCTTTCCTGGTCCTCGCTTCCTCCTTGATACAATGAAGGGGCTCGACTAGGTCTGCCAGCTCTTACTCTGCAGTCCCAAAATGCTTAGCACTACATCGGTCAAGAAGTCAAGAGGCAAATCCAAAAGGCGGCATCACCACTTCTAAGAACTTAGACCACGACGAACATAAACTGCAAGGACTCACATCAAAGCCCCCCTGCTGATGATAAGGGAGATGATTTAGCTCAACCAAGGGCTTCTGCTCCCACACGAAACTTAATTTAAACATTTTCCTGCCGCACACATTACATCTAAGGACAATAAACACATAATCAGGAGTCGAATGGAAAATCCAATGTTAATCAGTTTTCATTACCATGAACAGCAATGATGCCTGGTTTGGAGAGGGGGAGGGGACAACAGACCGCGGGCTACCTATGGCTAACACGCGGGTCTTCTTGTCTTTCCAGGCTTTCCTACAGGACTGGCCAGGACACAGCAAACTGTGCTACGTGCAGGAACAGCGCCTGCATTATCTATAGGTAAGTCCGAAATCGCGCGAGGAAGAAATGATATCCACCCTCCAAAGCCCTATCGGCCTGGAGCCGCCATCGCTGGTTGGGAGGGGGGAGGCTCACAGCAGGCTAGAAGTCGGGGACATCAGTGCGAGACGTTGCTCAGAATGTTGGGGGGGCTCACTAGGCTGGGATGGGAGAAGGGCCTGAACGTGCCCATCTCCTTTAGTCCACCTAAGCATCCGCCAGGACATCCTGGGAAGCACTTTATGACCGGTCTGGCAGGCTCTGAGAGGACATGCCCTGGGCATCTTTAGATCCAAAGACCTGGTGTCAGTACCACATCCCCCCAAGGTATCCCCACTGCCTGGCATCCATCAAAGATCTCCTAAATGCTTTGGGGTTCGCTAATCGATTAGGCTCCCTCCAATCTGCTGAGCAAAGGGAAAGATGAGAAACGTTGGTTCAGCTCCGTGCCGAGGACTGGCAAAGGGGGCGGGGCTGGAGGACAAGTCCCTCCATATCTCTGGCCTGCTTCCCTAACTGTAAACCACTGAATGAGCCGCTCTCCCAGTTTGACACTCGTGATCTAGTCCCTTTTTGCTCTGACACGCGGCGGTTCTGGAGCCACAACCCCAAGACTTCTGGCCTGCATTTGAGAGCCTGTTAGGGAGAACATTCACAGCTGCCCTCAGAGGTGTCTGTGTATTTTAGGGGGAAATGTTAAAGCACTTATTTCCTGTGAGTCAGGTCCAGTCATGAGGACGCGCCCTGTATGCACGTATCCCGCTGGGCTGGGTGGGCTCCCAGTCCCCCAAATGCTTGACCCAGTTGCTGGGGAGGTATGTTTACCTAGGGGAAAACAAGAGAAAGCAACTGGAGATGTTTCCAGCATTTCAACCCCCCAGGACATCCAGAGCCAATTATGTGAGACTGTGTAAAAAGGTCAGGAGGCTTTGGATAAGAAAGCGATCTTTAGTGGTCAGCAAAGACTTTCGGCGGTCAGGGTAGTGAAGCCCAAACTGCTCCTTCCAGGACACAGAATCTGCATTGTCACAGGAACAGAAGGAGGCAGAAATGTCTGGTGGACGGCCTGGGGGCTGACTGGCCTCAATCGGGCAGCGTTAACCCGGGGAACAGAGAAAGGGGCCCGTGTGTCTAGCTGATCAAGGACACAGAATGAATGCCTGGCTTAGGAGACTGGACTTCTGCAGTCCCTGAGTCACAACACACTGAGATCTGGGAAAGATACGGTGAAAACAGCAAGCAAGAGATATCAGGCAGCATCGCAATTCAGCAGTTTTAGAGGGAAGGAATCCATAGCCCCACAAAGCAGTCAAGGCCTTCCACTGTGAGGAAGGCAGCAGAGACTCTTGTCAAAGCCAAATCCAGAGGACCTGGTGGTGGAAACGAGAGTCCAGCCTTCCATAGCAACCTTTGCCAAAACTGTCAGACTCCTGTGAGCCAACACGAAAATAAAGATAGCGATAGATAGAGATAGACAGACATAGAAAGATACATACGTAGATATAGATAGTTTACACGTCTGTGTACATCTATCTATAAATAGATCTATATATACATATAGAGATATATGTGTAATCTATCTACACATATATCTATGTATATACATAGATACTTACATACACACATGCATATAGACAATTTATACTTATTTGTATATCTGTCTACACATGTATCTATATATACATAGATACATACATACATGCATAGATATAGTTTATACTTATATGTACATCTATCTACAAATAAATCTATATATACATACAGAGATAGATATAAGTATATCTATCTACACATATATCTATATATACATAGATACATACACACACACATACACAAAACATATTCTCCATCCACGGAAGGTAATCAGAAAGGCACTAGCACGAGGTGGGCTGGGGAGAGAAAGGCCTCCTGAAGAAGGCAGAACTGATCTGAGCCCAGAAGGTCAAGGCAAGGAGGGATGGCATTCCAGGAATGAGGGACAGCCAGTGCAAAAGATGGGAGTGCCACGTGTAGGGAACAGCACCAAGAATTACTAACTCATACCACACATGGAGAAGAAGAAAGTATGAGCCTGGAAAGGTAGAAAGGAGCCAGGGTGTGAAGAGCCTTTAGGGCAAAACAGAGGATTGCATATTTTATTCCAGAGATAAAAGGGAGTCATGGTAGTTTACTAGTTGAGGAGGATGGGGGATGGAGGGAGAGAGATGGTTAGATCTATAATTCAGGAAAATTGTAGGAACGTTCTCATTAAAGTCCATCCAGTAAATACTCATTACAGTCTACCTCTAATTAGAAGGGGACCTTTAGATAAATAAATGGCTTATAACATACAAATGAGGTCACTGGGAAATGGCACTGGCCAAGACGATACGCAAACAGAACCATGGAGTAGTGGAGTGGACGCTGGATTGGGAATCAGGGTTGGATTCCAGCCTTTGCTGCCTACTACCAGAGCGGCTCTTTGGCAAGTCATCTTAGCTTCAGAGCCTTGCTTTCCTCCAAGTGGAAGTGTGGAGGAGACCTTCTTCTAGGTCCCAATGGAGCAGGACTGTTTCTTAAGGAAGAGCATACATTATACAAGTTCCTTGGTGACTCAATGATCTCAAGAACCAACAAGATAGAAGAGATATCCAAATGCCCTCTCTATGCCAACCACCACACACAGTGACCTGGTGGTAAGCAGGACATTGTTCTTTATTGATAACACTGTTCACCAACCAGCCAGATAAGAAAGTTTAAAGCAGGGGAAGCTGGGTCAGGTTTTATTCCTCTTGGCTGTAAGCCATTGGAAGACTTCCAGAATCATGACACACACAGTCAGGAGCAGAGGGCTTGCTATAGAGTTAGAGGGCATCTCTGTACCTGAAATTATTTTAACCCCCAGGGATAATTCCATGAGAGGAAGAGTCAAAGGAGGATGCTGCCATGCCAGTTTCCTTGAGGTAGGCAACTGTGCCATCATTTAGTAAGAAGATACTGAAATTTTGTCACCCAACGAGTCATGAGACTGATCTTCCTCTGAAACTCTTTTAGGCAGCTAGTGCAAAATTAGAGGTTTTAGGAATTCAGTGTTTATGTTTCGCAGTCAGATTTGACCTTGAGTTGGGCCAAAGGACCATCTGGCTTAGCTGCAGATGGAGAGGGCAAGAGAAATGGTAACAATAATGAGATTAACTGAGCTCCATACTGGCTATGTAGCCAGTGCTATACTTGACCCAGCCAAGCATGGGAGACAGCTCCAGAAACTCAGGTTAATTGGACCAGTGCAATAACAGGGAACGGGAAATATCATTGGATGTGGGGTCAGAGGACCTAGGCTTGAATCCCAGACTTGCCATGTTCAAGGGCAAGGTACTTAACTTTGCTAGGCCCTGTTTTTATCTTCTGTAAATAAGGGGGTTAGACTGGATTGGATAATTTCTGAGGACACTTCTTACACTAAATTTGTGATCCCCAATCCACTGATACTGGCCTTCTATCACAGCAGAGGCTATCAGTTACCCATCAAAGCTCATCTGAACTTGATAAAGATGAGACAGGTCAAGTGGGTAGGGTCACTCTTCTACCTTCCCCAAGGGTGGAATGGATTTCCTCAGGAGGTAGGGGTCTCACTCTCACTGAGGGTCTTCAAGCACAGGCTGAATGACTCGTCAGCTAGACAGGAGTCTGGTTTGGGCAAGAGCCAGACTATATGGTCATCAAAGCAGCTTCCAACTTGGAGATTAGGATTTCATCTTGTGTTACCTGAGCAAACGTGTGCTAATCTAAGCAAACAGGGTTACCCTAGGAGAGCTCCGGTCAAAGGGCCAGGAACACTGCGCTGGGCCTGCTTGCAAAATTCTGTTTCTATTAGTCTTTTGAAACAGGTTTCCCCATTCAGTCTTGGTAAAGACTCCCAAAGTGGCCTCTTTCAGGGATTTAATAGGTGGTCTGTTGTTTATTCATTTTATCATGGTCATACAAGCAAGATGTCTATTGAAGAAAGTCTAACTTCTTCCCAGACTAGAACAACTAGATCACAAGAAGGAAGTTGGGGGCAAAGGGGAAGAGGAAGGCCAGTTCCTTTAGGATGCCATGAACACAGACAACTCTGTGCCACAAATAATCAAAGCGGTTGTAGAATCGAGCCCATGGCTGTCTTTAATGAGAAGTCATCTGGTTGGGGTAATCATGGCCTTTGTTATTGTAATATAAATTTTCTAAAAGACTACTCTTAAAATAAACTCTCCAATATTGGAAGGCTCCATCCTAACCAATGGGGTCATTATGTATAGCCCAGAAAAGTTTACTGCCTTCCTTCCCCCAGACCATACCTTGAGGTAGTGAAGAACTAATCTTCAAGGGTCATACTTTGCAAGAGATGCCGATTTCAGACAGCAGTCTTTTAAAGGCCCTGATGAGTACACAATAATTTTATCATTCTGTCCTAATACACAAGATGAAGCAAAGTTAAGGAATAAAACATTCTGTGATAGAAAATGCTTAGTCAAAAGAAACCATCTCCATTAGGGGCTACTTGGGCAAGACAGATATTTTTCCCCCCAACTATTTATCAAATATAAAATTACTAAGAAAATGGCCAGTCATCTCAAGAGACCAGACTGGAAGAGGTAAAAATTACTATTCAAGTACTGAATTCGAAAAATACCAACAACTTAAGAAATGCTAGATTTGCTTTTCTGGGGGGGAAGGGATGTGGAGGGGGGACAGAGGAGCAACAGGGGTAGAAATAGGCATCATAGTATACAAGCCCATGAATCCAATAGGGACCAAATGCCTGATTTATCTCCAATCCACTGGAGCCATTTGAGCACACATCCTTTCCTAATGATGGAGAGCCCCCTAACCTATCACCATCACTTTTCCCAAATGCACCTGGTATAGTACATGCTATACCATGGAATCTGATGGATCAAATACAAGTTGAAACTTTCAAATTCCCCATGACCACATTCTTCCTCAAAACTGAATAAGACAGGGAATTCTAACAGATCCAGTCC